GAGAGGGGAGCCAGTTTATGATGGGGAGCCAGTATATAAAAGGAGAGCCAGTATATGAGAGGGGAGCCAGTATATGAGAAGAGAGCCAGTATATGAGAGGGGAGCCAGTATATGAGAAGAGAGCCAGTATATGAGTGGGGAGCCAGTATATGAGAAGCCAGTATATGAGATGGGAGCCAGTATATGAGGGGGAGCCAGACTATGAGGGGGAGCCAGTAATGGAAAGAGCCTTATGGGGGGACCCAGATAGGAAAGAGCCAGTAAAGAGAGGGGGGGGCCATATTGAGAGGGGACCAGTATATGAGAAGAAGCCATATATAAAGGGGGAGCCATATATGAGGGGGGAGCCATATTGAAGGGGAGCCATATATGAGAAGAAGCCAGTATATAAAAGTGGGGGCGTTATGGAGGAGACCCATATTGAGTGGGGAGCCAGTAAGAGAAGAAGCCGTATAATGGGGGGAGCCAGTATTAGAAAGAGCCAGAAATTTGAAAAGAGAGCCGTATTGAAGGGAGCCAGTAAATAAAGGGGGGAGCCAGTATATAAAGGGGGGACCAGTATAGAAAAAAGACCCAGATATGATGGGGGGGAGTATATGAGGGGAGAGCCAGTATATGAGTGGGGACCCAGTATATGAAAAAGGAGCCATTAGAGAGGGGACCAAATTATGGAAAGAGCCAGTAATGAAAAAGGGGCCCCCAGTATAAGAGGGGACCCAGTTATGAAAAGAGCCGATTAAAGGGGGGCCAGTATATGAAGGAGAGCCAGTATTAGGGGGAGCCAGTATATGGGGGAAGCCTATATGAGAAAGACCCCATATATGAGAGGGGACCAGTTTGGAAAGAGCCATAATGAGAGGGGGCCAGAAAATTGAGAAACCCATTATGGAGGGGAGCCAGTAAAAGAGAGGGGGCCAGATATGATGGGGAGCCAGTAATGGGGGGGACCCAGTAATGAGAGAGAGTCTATATGAGTGGGGAGGCAGTTATGAGGGGGGAGCCATAATGAGAGGGGAGCCATATATGAAAAGAGAGTCGTATATAGTGGGGGCCAGTATATGAGGGGGGACCCAGTATATGGAAAGAGTCATATATGAGGGGGAGCCATTATATGAGAGGGGAGCCAGTATTGAGAAAGACCATATAGAGAGGGGAGCCAGCTATGAGAGGGGAGCCAATATGAAGGGAGCCATAAGGGGGGGGGCCAGAATGAGAAAGAGCCAGTAATTGGGGGGGAGCCAGTTAGGGGGGGGGGGGGGAGCCAGTATATGAGAAGAGAGCCAGATATTAGGGGGGAGCCAGTATTGGGGGGGACCATTATAGAGGGAGCCAGTAAGAGGGGGGGCCGCTATGGGGGGGACCCATTTAATATGAAGGGGGCCAGCAATGGGGGGAGCCACAATGAGAGGAACCCAGTTAGGGAAGGGGAGCCAGTATAGAGGAGAGCCAGATATGAAGGGGGAACCATAATGAGAGGAGAGCCAGTATATGATTTGGGGCCAGTAATGAAGGGGAGCCAGTATATGAGAAAAAGAGTCAGTATATAGTGGGGGGCAGTATAGAGGGGGGAAGCCAATATGAGTGGGGAGCCAGTATATGAGTGGGGAGCCAGAAAGATGGGGAGCCATATATGAGAAAGAGTCATTAAATGAGTGGGGAGTGGTACAACGAGGGGAGATAATAGTTTAATTTTCATAGTGGTATTAGTAGTGCAACAGCGACAGAGGCGGTAAAAAAAGGGGGAAAAAAGGTAGTGAACAAAATCGGGGTGGGGGTCAAAGTAGCAGCGAACAGCAGCAACAGGAGGGGTGGTGGTCGTCTAAGAACAAGAGAAAAACACAGGAAAAAAGAGCACTGTAGGAGAGCTAATGGCCCACGAGGGTAAGACATAAACCCAGGGTAAAAATTCACAGCACAGAACCCACAGTTTGTTCTCTCGCCTTGCCTTGCCCTTCCGATTTCATAAACCTCCCTCTCACATGAAAAACGGTCTTTGTTCTCTCCCAAACCACTCCTGCAAATCTCCCGTTCTTTGCCTGCATACATTTCAGTCTCCTAAACTTAAAAATTTCCCCCTCTTTTTCCCTTACACCAAACTTTTTTTGCTAAACAACACCCTTCGTAGAAAAACAGTTTCTACTACTACTCGTGCACGGATCTTCGGGAAACTATTCCTTTCCCTGCTCCTCTTGTTCTCTTTAATGCTTTGGAGAAACTGGCTGCTCTCTTTCTGACATTTCAAGAGCACAAAAGAATTGTTAGACTTGACGACGCTAATAATGGTCTTTTCAGTCATGTTAGAGATCACAGTCATCCTATTAACTGGTTCTCTGCCAAAACTGTCTACCTTTCTTCTAGCCTTCACAGACGCTGTCTGTTAAAGCATCCCTTATACACACAACTTATTTAATATGAATCTTAATCTTGGCTTTGCCGTTCTGGATTACTTCCTTTTCTAATTACATTGTCAAATGCTCCATACTTTGGAACACTCGTGATATGACCTGATCTTTATCTCCTCACCTTACCTTTTCTCCTTTCCTATAATTTCTTTGCCTTTCCTTTCTTCTGCTTAGCTGGGTTCCGTCCTACGAGTTCCCCCTGGGTCTCTGTCCCACCCTCGTGGGCCATTAGATATCCTCCAGTGCCTTTTCTTTTTTTCTCTTCTTAGAATACTTCCACTGCCACTAGTACTTTTACACTACACTAGTACTACTACTATTGCTCCACTTACATTCCACTCTCTGACTCTGTATAAATACCACTTCATTCTTATTGCCACCTCTGCCAATGTTAAACTACTTATGCAATTATTCTACTATCATTTCCTCTCGTTCTACCTTCTTTACTTAAATATACTGGTCCATGCCCTTCGCACTTCTGTGTTACTAGTTATTGTGCCAGTCAAGGTACTGTGTTTTTTTCTTTATGGCAGAATTAAATTGGTTGGTGAACATCATTGTTCTTCCGTTGCAAAACCCAATTTAAAATAAAAAAGTTAATTGACTTGAAGGATTCTATGAGGTCTTCCCATAAATGTTCTCGTGTAAGAATTAATAAAAATAAAATGGAAGTACGTACTACAATTTAAGTGTTGAAGGTGGAATTTAAAGAAAGGCATCAAGCATAAGTTGGTACTCCTCCAGTTTCTGGATGACTTGGTAATGTAAGACAATAGGCATGCGAAATAACTAAATGCCGTCCAAATATATTTCATCAGTTATACAACCTTCATGTTCCAAAATTTTTGGCTCTGGCTCTAGTACAGATCTCAAAAATTACATCACTTGAGAACCCGAAGCCCCGAAACCGAAGCCAATGGAAACCAGAAACGTGCAAATTCTACTCTTGGGCCATTTGCAAATACGACCATATGAGGACTATCAATCCTCTATATAACCCTTCCCAAATATGTCGAAATCTATTGCAAGCTCTTTCACCCAAGGTTGCAGATGCAGTTTCCACTACTGCATCTGCAGTCAACTTGCAGTAGTATTTACATCAGAGGTTCTGCCTGATAGCTGTCATATATATCAACACATGGTCACGTGACATGGTCTACGATGATATATTTTCCATCAGCTAGAATGATAATAACTTCAGTATTGCTAAGAGAAGCTATGATATAACACGGCTGAGAGTAACTTTATTTCACATTACTTAAGAGTTGTATTTCCTACACTGGGCTGTAAGTAGGAAGGGGAGGGGGATGCTTATTTAAATTTAATGAGAACACTCAAATTCCTCAGATCAAAAGCCAGCCTTTTTGCTACAGCAATGGACTCGCCTTAAAGGAGTGTTAGTCTGTGTTAAAGCACAAATATCATATATGTCAAAATAAGTCCTCTGGTACCACCATATCCTCCTATTTTCTTCACAACATTTACACCTTAACATGGAAACACTTGTGCGACTTATATAAAAAAAAATGAGGACTTTTGAAACACGCAAAAATTCACATTAATGAAAATGTTTAAGAGGCTTCAGTTGTGAGTTATGTCAGAGTATTATCTATATTGTCAACGTCTGCACTTACTAGTTGTCCCACAAATTACAAAAGTGTTTACCAAATCAAATTACTAGGGTAACTTTTTTAATGAAATAAATTAATATAAGATTAAAATATGTAATAGTTGGAAATTCTAAAGACAAGACAATGATGTAAATAAAGTAGTCCAGTACTTATTAAGGTCACTCAGCAGCACACCTTCAACAAAGTCATAACTGCATTACAATATGTAAGACAAACTAAGATACGGTGAGGCTTAAACTACCGGTGAGTCGTAAAACTCCAGACCAGCGCTTAAGCCACTAGGCCAGCTGAATACAATAAGATTCATCCAACTAGGTATATTTATACACTATAGGGAGGTTAGCATGGGCCACCACTGTGACCACAAATGCCGTCATGGTCACGCTAGCGAGAGATTCATCTGAAAATCTTGCATTTGTGGTCACACTGGGCCCATGCTAATCTCCCTATGATGTATAAATATACCTAGTTGAATGAATCTTATTGTAGCCAGCTGTCCCAGTGGCTTACGCAGTGACCTGAAGTTTTACGAATCACTCGCTGCGAGGTGCCCCACATGTACCCTGGTTTATCTGTAATCGTGTCATTACGATTTCGTGAGTTATAAATAAGACACTTTCAAAAAGAAACTCTAGACGACTTTTCAATCTCTCCTGGACCAGCTACTAAATTTTATGGTCAGTGCCGTTGTTCTCCGGTGCCAGATCAAGTTAACTGCCACACAAAGGATAAGACTCGAAGGTAAGTTAGTGATGGAGGAGACTAAACCTCACCAATGGTACTATTACTAATTAAAAACAAAACAAACAAAAAATTACAGCACATTGGTACAGAGGAGCTCGGTGAAAACCATTATGTTTTCTGACCGTATTGTGACTTCATACTGGACCAAGAAGGATCAAACCTCATCTAGAGTTTCCATGGTATTGTGACTAATTCTTGTTCAAACTTGTTCAAGGGTACTTACCAGTATATCTTCTGTAGGATGAGTACCAACTACACTACAGAAGTCACCAAAGTTGGACGCGCAAACTTTGCGCACTTGAAAGAGCGCATCTGAGCAAAGGCAGGTGAACCTCTCCAAGAAAAGTCGTTCCGTCATCTCTCTCCCAATCAGTGGTGCCATCTTGGACATGAGCTGTAGTACACATAAATGGATGTTCCAGTCAATACCATGTTATCACTTGCAACATCACAGGATTAACAAATACACTTAAACATACCTTTTTTTTCATTGAGTGTGTGTGTGTGTGTGTGTGTGTGTGTGTGTGTGTGTGTGTGTGTGTGTGTGTGTGTGTGTGTGTGTGTGTGTGTGTCTGTGTGTGTGTGTGTGTGTGTCTGTGTGTGTGTGTGTGTGTGTGTGTGTGTGTGTCTGTGTGTGTGTGTGTGTGTGTGTGTGCGTGCATGCGTGTACGTACCAGAACACACACACACAAGCAGTACATGGGTGTACTACAGCACACACAAGCAGTACATGGGTGTACTACAGCACACACAAGCAGTACATGGGTGTACTACAGCACACACAAGCAGTACATGGGTGTACTACAGCACACACAAGCAGTACATGGGTGTACTACAGAAAAAACTACAGCACAAGCAGTACATGGGTGTACTACAGCACACACAAGCAGTACATGGGTGTACTACAGCACACACAAGCAGTACATGGGTGTACTACAGCACACACAAGCAGTACATGGGTGTACTACAGCACACACAAGCAGTACATGGGTGTACTACAGCACACACAAGCAGTACATGGGTGTACTACAGCACACACAAGCAGTGCATGGGTGTACTACAGCACACACAAGCAGTACATGGGTGTACTACAGCAACACACACAAAGCAGTACATGGGTGTACTACAGCACACACAAGCAGTACATGGGTGTACTACAGCACACACAAGCAGTACATGGGTGTACTACAGCACACACAAGCAGTACATGGGTGTACTACAGCACACACAAGCAGTACATGGGTGTACTACAGCACACACAAGCAGTACATGGGTGTACTACAGCACACACAAGCAGTGCATGGGTGTACTACAGCACACACAAGCAGTGCATGGGTGTACTACAGCACACACAAGCAGTACATGGGTGTATTACAGCACACACAAGCAGTACATGGGTGTATTACAGCACACACAAGCAGTACATGGGTGTACTACAGCACACACAAGCAGTACATGGGTGTACTACAGCACACACAAGCAGTACATGGGTGTATTACAGCACACACAAGCAGTACATGGGTGTACTACAGCACACACAAGCAGTACATGGGTGTACTACAGCACACACAAGCAGTACATGGGTGTATTACAGCACACACAAGCAGTACATGGGTGTACTACAGCACACACAAGCAGTACATGGGTGTACTACAGCACACACAAGCAGTACATGGGTGTACTACAGCACACACAAGCAGTACATGGGTGTACTACAGCACACACAAGCAGTACATGGGTGTACTACAGCACACACAAGCAGTACATGGGTGTACTACAGCACACACAAGCAGTACATGGGTGTACTACAGCACACACAAGCAGTACATGGGTGTACTACAGCACACACAAGCAGTACAATGTTTCTAATCTCAGGTGATAATGAACGCATGTAGCATTGTACAACTTATGTACTAACTAATGATTTCAAATGGTTTATAAACGAAATAAGCAAAAATCAACTATCTGTAAAGATTCCAGAGATGAGAATTTAAGTGACGGCAGGTTGTGTTGACGCAGACAATGTTGACAACACGGCATCAGTGACCTTGTATAACTGGTGGGTAATTTACACAACCACACACACCAATAATTAATATTTAACTTAATCAATTAATGACAGACGAATGTTAGGGAAACAAAAAATTCAAGGTAGTGGCTGTAAATACAATGAAGATAAACCAGGAATTGGTGAATATAATTGTTAAAAAATACATTAAATAATCAGCTTAATATTCCAAGCAAGGTATAAGAATGTTGTATTTTGAGATCAACCAAATGGAATAAGTTGAAATAATGCAGAATTAGTTAAAAGACTCGGTACACAAGAGTAGACTGTTTCCCTATACATAGCTTCACTCAACTGTACATAATGCCTAATTCTTGGGCACGACCTACTTCCACATTGAACAAATGTGACACCGCCTATGACTGCTACACCTCTCCTGCCATACGGTTTATAAGCTGCTTCTCCGCTCACATGCCGTATTCTACTGAAGATTGATGGACTGAACACATCGACTCAAGGTTGAGGGACTGATTACCTCGTTCTCCTCCTGTTCTTCAAGATTCTCCTTTGTATGGACTGATGAAGCCACTGTGTGGCGAAACGTTTCCTCAATAAAGATACCCAAGAGTTGCACATGTGTCTAATTTATCAACATGTCGGTTCTCTGAACCATTCATCTACAAATCTGCATACTAGAAGAACTGCTAACCAATCTGCATACTAGAAGAACTGCTAACCAATCTGCATACTAGAAGAACTGCTAACCAATCTGCATACTAGAAGAACTGCTAACCAACCTGCATACTAGAAGAACTGCTAACCAACCTGCATACTAGAAGAACTGCTAACCAACCTGCATACTAGAAGAACTGCTAACCAACCTGCATACTAGAAGAACTGCTAACCAACCTGCATACTAGAAGAACTGCTAACCAACCTGCATACTAGAAGAACTGCTAACCAACCTGCATACTAGAAGAACTGCTAATCAACCTGCATACTAGAAGAACTGCTAACCAACCTGCATACTAGAAGAACTGCTAACCAATCTGCATACTAGAAGAACTGCTAATCAACCTGCATACTAGAAGAACTGCTAACCAACCTGCATACTAGATGAACTGCTAACCAACCTGCATACTGCTATAACAACTTACTGAGTGAAAGATATGGGAGAGTGTGGAATAAAGGTAGTGATAAACAGAGTAACAAGTGTACAAACAGTAAACACATATCAATATCTGTGTCCCAAGACTCTTCAATGTATTACCAGGTCTTTCCTAAACACTCACCAACTATAAACATCCTTTATGTCTCGACAAACATTTAAAGTAACAAGCATTACAAACACACTAGTGCTAATTATTAAACACACACACACACGACACACACACACACACACAACACACACAACACAACACCGACCACACACACACGACAACACGACACACACACACACGACACACATACGAACACACACACACCACACACACAACGACACACACACACACACGACACACACACACAACAACGACACACACACACACACGACACACACATACACAACACACGACACACACACACACACACACACACGACACACACACAACACACAACGACACACGACACACACACACACACACGACACACACACACACGACACACACACGACACACGCACAACACAACACACACACACACAACACACACGAAACACACACACACACGCGCAAACACACACACAACACACACACACGACACACACACACCACAACACACACCACGACACACTCGAAACACACACACACAACACACACAGAGCGGAACGATAACACGAAACACACACATACATGACACGGGCACACAAGACAGATTCAGAGAGGACACACAACAGACACAGGGAGAGAAGACAGATGATAAGGGAGGGAATATTTCTTCACTACAAATACAGAGTGGAATTTGACATGTAGGACAGAATCACAGCTTTCCAGAGGATGAACAGCACGGGGGGACAATGAAAGTAGAGACCATTGAATCAAGGCGGTGCTAGGAAGTATGACTTCGCCACGAGACGTCAACTAGTGGAAAAAAGTGAAAGGGCGGACAAAAAAAAAAAAAAAAAACGATACAAAGCACAAAAACACACAACACAGCACTAAACAACAGAAACAAATAACCAACAACTCGACGAGTTACGGGGCAGTGAACCTAAAAAGACACAGCTATGAAAGAGGCGGGGCCGAAAGAAGGAAGAAATGATGCTAAAGGTCATATCGCCTGCAACGAACTAGGTGAGAACAACACCAAGAGGACACAAGCGGCCCGCGCACGGCCACACAATCACACACACACCACATCACACACACACACACAAACGATACCAAACGCACACAAAAAACACACACGACACGCGCGCGCGCGCGCGCGCGCGCACACACACACACACACACACACACACACACACACACACACACACACACGCTGAAGCGAGTTACAGGGGCAGTGACCAGAGAAGACACAGCATATGAAGCTGCGAGGCCGAACAGGAAGGAAGGAATTATGAATTATGCTAAGGTCATATCAGCCTGCCAAGGAGGACCAAGGAGTGAAAGGGAAGAACAGCTGGTTGCAGATGGAGAGGGTGATAGGTCGAATGCTGAGGCACAACCAGGCTATCAAGAGCCACTGGAAAAATCAAGGGAGAAACTGACCACATACAGGCAGGATCCAGAGTCACAGAGGGTGAGGCAATGGGAGGAAGAAAGGGCAAAATCAGTGTTTATCCATGGGCTTCAGGAGAGAGAGGAAAGGACACACACTGAAAGGCAGCAGGAAGAAAGAAAGGAGATTGAGAAAATCATCACGGAAATAGGTGAAGAGATGGACGAGATTGTAAATTTTCAGAAAATAGGGGGGTACTCGAAGGGGAGAAACCGACCAATCAAGCTGATTCTCAGGACGGAAACAGTGCGGAACAGGATCCTCCAAGAGAAACCACGATTGAAATACGCGGAAGAGTACAAGAGGGTGCTCCTAGACAGAGATAGAACAAAATCAGAACGACAGCAGCTGAGGGAGAGGACAAAAAAGCGAAAGGAGCTAGGAAAAGAGACAAGGATGGAACCAGCAGAGGTCAGTCAGAGCAGAACAGAACAGCATGGGCAAGCACACACACAACTATTCTCAGAACCATACAACCTATCACACCATCCCAACACACACTACAATCCATACCCACAGCCTCCACCCAACACCGAGCTATAGAATCCCACAGTATGCCACCAGGTCTCCCACCCTCACAGGCCCCCCAAACCACAGTGTTGGAAAGGAAACTGAAGGTATGGTACACAAACGCTGATGGAATAACAAATAAGTGGGAGGAGTGGC